GATATAAACTTGGTCATGATCAGTTTTTGGCGTGTTTGTTTGAGCCACAGAGGGATTGCATGTTGGGAAAGACAAGTTAAGACAAGTTGTCCAAATTGCCTTTTGTTTTACAGGTTACCACTTTTTAAGGATTAAAGTGCCTAAATTGTGTTAGTTTTGTGTCTTATCCATATCTGTACAGAGGTTGGAGGGTTTGAACTAGCACTGACTTTTGTGAGAAGAGATGTTACGATCATGGTTGAAAGTTCTGTGGATATGTCAGCATGGTTGACAGCTGCAGTGACAACAGGGGAATGAAAATAATTAGATAATAAATATGAAGAAATAAATATATAATGTAACCAAGGCTACGATATCATCCACAATATCATCACATGCTGGCAAAAGAATGCTTACATTATTCGGTAAACATTAGAATCTTATACGAAAAGGAAAATGCTAGGTTGTCAAGCTGGTTTTGGGAAAGGTTGAAGAACAAGAAACTTATTCTTGATGCACAAAAAATACAAAAGAGAAGGTAGCATGTGCTTCCTAGAAAGTGCCTCAGTTGTGTCAATCATGCCAAACTGTAGGCTGTCTTTTGGAAAATGGGAATTCCAGAACATTTCATTGTCCTCATGAGAAATTAATACACAGGATAGGAAACCATAGTCCAGAAAAAAAGTGAAACAGATTGGTTAATAGAGTCTCTGATTAAATAAAGAAGACCAAATTAATGACAATGCATACCATTGAATCAATCAAGCAGTCAAGAAATAATCACAGCCAGCACTTAGAATGGCAGCCTTGGAAAATATATTCAGATGCTATGATGTGTTTATTCCAACAAAGATTAGAATTAAACAGGCAGTGATTTCCCCTGTGAGTCTCCGGAAGTTAGATTTTGAAGAATAAAGATAGGGTTTATGTTTTTGAACTTTGGTGTTTGGAGAGGACTCTTGAGAATACCATAGACAACCTAGAAAAAAACCAAATGGATAATTGGATAAATCAACCTAGAATTCTTCCCTAAGACTCAATTACTCTTACCCAGACTGCCTGCAGCAAAACTGATCTGACTAGCAAGATGAAGTACGATATAAACTTGGTCATGATCAGTTTTTGGCGTGTTTGTTTGAGCCACAGAGGGATTGCATGTTGGGAAAGACAAGTTAAGACAAGTTGTCCAAATTGCCTTTTGTTTTACAGGTTACCACTTTTTAAGGATTAAAGTGCCTAAATTGTGTTAGTTTTGTG